ATTGATCTGATTTCGAATAATTTTAGTTGTATCTTAATTAATTTAGTGTTTACACAATGATAAGTTTTATTATTGTTAAATTCTTATGAATTAACTTTCTTAATTTATCATTATATAATTTATAGTTATAATTAATTTACGTTTTACATTTGTAGAAATTATCGTAATTCAGCCCTCGGGCTGCGAGGGTAATTTTAATAAAACTATCTATCCTAAACCATCTATCTATCTATCTATCCGAGCCTTCTTGCCGACGCCCTTTCGACTTTTTTTCACGGATTGTGGGTCCTACTCCTTTCGTAAATAAGTAAAGTCGACTTTTCTTGTCAGTAAAGGCCTGTTATGCTTATAAAAATGATAAAAAAATAATAAATGGCTGCAAGAGAATGTAGTATAGAAGTTTGTAATCTCTTGATGGTTGCTTGTAGATATGGAATTTATCTTCACGTGTTCAACTCCAAATCTCGTTCGTTCGCTGGCCCTCTCGTGAGATAGCGAGTTGAACACTAGGAATTAATTTCCATATCTCCGCGTGCCCATGAATTATTCTCTAAATAATAAATGAAAAGTGACGCGTCATATGTGCAAGTAAACAATTTTATGGAAAAAGGGTGATTTGGCGAAACATTTAAAAGACAAGATGGCATCCACCGTAATATCAACAATTTTTCCCGTGTAATTTACTACACATAAGGACGAGTAATTTTCCAGATCTTGAAATTCTTTAGCGTTTCAAAATTTGTTTTCTGGCCTCCGATTTGAACATCATGTCGTAATCATTTTATAGCTTCAAGTATCTTCAGTTCAAAATTATCTTCGCTTTTCTCAACAGCTAGACCTCGGTCAGCTCCGATCCTACAGACAGCTCTGCCAAAGAACAAAACAGTGCAGGTTGGAGATAATGCAACATTTACCTGTATTGTTCTTGTTAGTGGAACTCTCCCGGATTTCAGATGGCTTAAATGGAACAAATCCGTCAATTATATTCCGAAAACTTACAATGAAATTTTAAATGGATCATATCGCCTTATAGACCCATACTATTACAAGACCGTTCAAGTAAAAAGTAATTATGGTGTCGAGTTGAATATTGCAAATGTGACTGAGGACGATTTTGGACTCTACACTTGCTTTGTGAGCAATCATATCGGCAACGACTTCAGTAGTGCATTCCTCATCAAAAATGTGAAACCCACGGTTCCTGTGACAGGTCAGTATCTGTTAAAAACAAGGCGCAGCAAATTTTTTCCCATCCGCACCTAGTCGAGCGACTGCCCTTTTAAAAGTAATGCGTTTTGAATACTCGCTGTATGGTATACTTCTATGGTATAGAGAATATTCTTACTCGATCAAACTTAAAGATTTAAAGCGTTAACTCAGAATTCTCCGAACAGAATTCTATTAACTCACACTTGCTTTGTGAGCAATCATCTCGACAACAATTTCAGGAGTGCATCAAATAATTGACCGCTACTTTGGTTCACTGGCATGCAATTCTCCCTTTAACGTACAATAATTAATCGACAAGCACTGTCCTCAGTCAATGGGTACATTGATTTTTCCTTTTTACAGATATTTATTCGTTTACACTGGATATTTAAACTGTAGCTTCAGTTATAACTATTCACAGTAAACCGCTGTTGTTGACAGTTTATTGCACACTGAAACAAAAGCGTGGATATTAGGGAAAGGAAAACTTCACAAAGGATATAAGCGCTTTTACATAACTAAGCAAAATAGAAGCATTCTATCGAGTAGTCTCACATATTTAGAGCCCTCGCAGTGTTAATCTACTTTCTTCTAAGCTTACCACAGTATTCGTTCATTTTTTATAAAATTTCTTTGTTCACGTTTTGGCAGCTGTACATTTTTCCAAACGCATAAATGAGATTAAGAAACATGCATATTAGTTATATTAATTCAGAATATACTGTATTACGAAAAAAAAGGTCTAGCGTGCACAGTATAAATCATAAACTTAACCTACTTTGTGCTTCGCTTAAAATAGGTCAGTAATATCTGTATTTTTGGTTTTACTTTAACAGGAGCACCAGTATTTACTGATCCAAACTTGCGAAAGAGATCATTCAGGGCATGGCCTGCATCACACTCCACAAGACTGAAATGTCAAGCCATTGGTGCACTACCGCTCAAATACAAATGGCTAAAGGATGGAAAGGACTTTAAAAAATATATTATGGATGCAACTGTTAATACTTCACTTTGGTACCTGAAACTGCGAGATCTTATACCCGCTGATTCTGGGAGATACACTTGTATAGTGTCCAATTCATATGGATCAATAAATCACACCTTTACACTTCAAGTTGTTGGTAAGTATAGTTAAATATACCGTAGACGATTCATCAAGAAGCAAACTTAAACATTCAAACTCAATGAAGAACTTTTTACAAGACTCTGAAATCCGTGAACAATACTTTTCTGAAATTTTTTTAATTAGAATATAAAAATTAAATGGCAATAATGATAGCACTGATACTAGTACTTCTAAGTCTTACCACAATCACGCTAATGGAGGACGTTTGCCGTGTCTTCATAGCCTCATCTTGACTCTGTTGGTTTGAACAATTTGAGAAAGTATGCAAACCCTTAACCGCGTTTCGGGTCTGCAGAACAGTCGAAAATTCTCCTTATCCCCGAGTGTTTAGATGAGGCTATGTAGACACGTGAAAAAGTCCTCAGCTGCTTCTATAAAATATTTGTCAAATAACAATAAACGGGACGCAGTTATGTTTACTTTGTGTTTACATACCTATCAACCAAAACCTATCGACCAAAGAGAGCATGCTTACTATCCTGAATATTCCATAACAATGCAATTTTTTAATAATACAAACAATAAGTTCTTATTATACATACTGCAGTGTTTTATAAGGATTCCAACTATGAGAAAAGCCGTATTATGCCTGCTAAAAACACTGAAAAATTCGTATCGCTTATGGAAAGTGACGTTCTAAAATTTGCTACACGGGCGGAAGAGAACCAAAATACGAAAAGAACAACCGAAGGTTTCGTTCCTAGCTTTGGTAATTATATTTCTCGCGGCTGAGAACGAAAATTGACAACTGGAAATTTGTCACAAGCCGATTTTGGCCGTATACCTTAAAATATTTTGTCTGGCGGTGAGGATAAAGTCAATAGCTGAGAACTCTGTGTATTGAAAGTTAAGTCCATTGTTTGTTTTTGTAATTGGGATTCCAAAATTTTTTTTCATCTTAAACCTTATTGCCGACGCACTTTCTAATCTCTTGATGGTTGCTTGTAGATATGGAATTTCTCTTCTCGTGTTCAACTCCAAATCTCATTCGTTCGCTGCGCTTTCTTGTGAAATAGCGAGTTGAACACTCGAACATAAATTCCATATACACACGCACCCATGGATTATTCTCCAAATAACAAACGAACAGCGATGCGTCATATGTGCAAGTACACAATTACATGACAACAGCATAATTTAGCGAAACATTAATGAAAAAAAAGAAAGCATCCACAGTAATATCAACAATTTTACCCGTGCAATTTACCACACATAAGGACACGTAATTTTCCAGATCTCGAAATTTTTTAGCGTTTCAAAATTTGTTTTCGGGCTTCTGATTTGTACATCATGTAGCGATCTTTTCATAACTTCAAGTATCTTCAGTTCAAAGTTATCTTCCCTTTTCTCAACAGCTAGACC